TGGCTTAGCTCATCTCTGGCTTAGCTCATCTCTGGCTTAGCTCATCTCTGGCTTAGCTCATCTCTGGCTTAGCTCATCTCTGACTTAGCTCATCTCTGGCTTAGCTCATCTCTGGCTTAGCTCATCTCTGGCTTAGCTCATCTCTGGCTTAGCTAAGCCAGAGATGCTGCTGTTGTGATTGCTTCTTTGTTTGTGGGTTGGGCAATTGTGGAGCAATCGCGCTGCTGATTGCCGGGCACGACAAGCCCGAGACCGGCAATCACGCGCCCGGCGTCATGACGATGTGATTGCCGGGGCTTCTTTAATTGGGGGCGCTGCCGCCCCCCTCCCCTCCCCTGACCCCCCTACACCTGGAGGGGGGGGGGCTGGGGTAGAAGAAGGGGGACGTTCACCACATCTTCATCATTCAGCTTCACCACCTCCTGCTTAGGTTGCATAGAAAATAGCGTTATTTTAATCAGTTTGAATTATTTCGAATTTTAAAATTTTTGTTTACTTTTTAATTATAATTTCAAAATATAATTTTTACTGGTATATAACATATATGTATGCTTGACACATTTTAGCTGATAATAACTTATGATGTAATAATAATAATAATGACAATAATAATAATAATTAATATATAGAAACAACAAGAAGATTTTAAATAATAATTACGCTTTGGTCTCCGGGAAAATCTAAATGCCAGATTAATTTCTAGGTTTCTAATTACGCCACATGGCAGACTTAATTAAATGTACCTAATTTTATTTAATTTTAATTATACATAAATATACTTAATTGAATTCTACAGTCCCTGCAACTCTTATAATCGCTACATACCCTTTAACTTTTTTTCTTTTAATTGCTATTTCCCTTCGAATTTATTAATTTTTAAATTGCTACAAATTACTCGCTTTAGGGTAACATGGGGCAGCGAGTCCACTGCGGGTCACGGGCCCATAGCGGGTTTCTCACTAAGTATGGCAGATATTGGTCCGTGTTCTCTACCGCCGGTCGACAGTTTCACTGGGATGAAGTGTACGGATTTACGTTTTGCTAAGTGTTTGCG